GGTGAAGTGAATCTGCATTTTGGCTGCTGGAAAGGTGTGCCTGAGAGCGCGGGAAATACGACGAGTTAGAACTTCAGCTACGATTTCCCCTTTGTACGGTAATTGTAGAAAAATGGGTTTCTTTTCGGCTGTGAGGGTTACAGGAGATTTCCTCCCTGGCTCCATGTTGGCTTTAATGAATCCATCCGGGTACCCATTTTCCTTCAGGGTTAACCGAATGCGCTGTAGTTCCTCAGATAATGTGTCATTCGAGCAAATTCTTTCCGCCCGATTCGTTAAACTGAAAATCAAGTTCCGTTTTGATCTAAGTGGAACAAAACTGTAGAAATTCGTGTATCGTCCGTTCCAGGTACGTTTCCTATACACCTCACGCTGTAAGGAACAATCATCGAGTCGCTTCATGTTCACATCGAGGAAATGAAAAGATCTATCTTCCTCCACTTCAGATGTAAACTTTAGCGCTGTGTGTGCCTGGTTAAATGTGTAAGTAAGGTACTCGATGGTTCTGGAGGAATGGAGCAATATAAAGATGTCATCGACGTAACGGCAGTAGAGGCTAAGGCTTTCGATAACCGATCTTAACTTGCTCTGTTCTAGCATACCCATAAATACGTCAGCAAGAAACGGCCCCAGTGGGGAGCCCATAGCAACCCCATCGTGTTGTCGGTATATTTCTCCGTTGAACAAAACCTGGATATTGAAGGTGCACGGGAGCAACAGTTCCTTTAGGCCAACTGTAGGAATGCCAATGGATATCTGGTTCTGATCAATATAATCACAAATGTAATTTATAGTTTCAATTAGTGGCACGTTAGTGAATTATGAAGCAACGTCGAGGGGACACATGGTTAGATCCGTAACATTTCGATCACGTACGAGCTCTACGAATTCAAAACTGTCCTATAGACTGTGTACAGAAACCTGCTTTCGGATGGGCTCTAAAAGCTCAACGAGCGTTGTCCTGTCCTCGATTGGTTCTATGCTGACTCATGCCAACCTGAATTTCGTCCATGTTCAGACACTGTTAATGTTACTGACATCATATTTGTAGGAGGAGCGTTCTAAAAGTCGACTGCCTCACGAGTTAGTCCAGTCATTCTGATACTATCACGGTGGGTTAATTCTCTATCAACTAATTTCGGCAATGTTTATTAATCTAGTAAGGTGGATGCTCTGATACAAATTCTGACTAATAGCTTTTGTTGGTTTGTGATAGTTGATGATCAATCCCTCATGAAGCGGTTGCTTGAATGCCGACGGTGAGTTTAACCCATGCCGCTTTTCAGGTTAGGACGGATGCAATTGTTTATAGACAGGGTCAATTACATCTCTCATGGCTCACTTTATTACCATCCAACCGTAGGTTGTGTACACGATAAACCTTTGTGCAGTGTACTACCCATTGTGTGACAAAAGTGGTAAGCAAGATGAAAATCATTTCTTCGCCACAAAGAGGAGTAATTGACTAATCTTCCACAGCCTTCTTATCGCCTTGTACCTACCGACTTCCAATGTGATTAATTTTCGATGCTGGCAAGATAACCATGCAAACTAGCTGAGAAAAATATGGTATTCCTTTCGTGCAAGAAGAAAGCCCGTTCGCAATCTACGGTACTTTTCGTCAGATACATCTACTGATTCCCTGCTTCTGTGCATATAAACAACATTTAGTACTTAACAATGCGTAGCAGGAAAATTAAATTACCTGTTAAATTCATTTAAGTCCCTGACGCATCAAAAAAGTAGGAGACAGCAAATCAGTGTCTTTCCTGTGCATACTAACGAGCTGACTGACTACCTTAGAAAAATTCAATCAGCATTGTGATCAGTACTTCAACACTTTGAATCCACTACTGGCCCCCATGAAAAGCTTGAATGACCGAAATTTACAACACAGTTCTTGTCAAACCGGTGTATTGTTGTGAATGAGTTTTCTAGGATCTTAGGATTCAGGAACTTGAACTGCAGACTACAAACTGACAACTATTAAAGCAACAAATTACGAAGGTGTACAGGACACCTTAACCTTGTCGCTGGTGGAAAATTTACAGAGTAAACATGCTGGGAACTGATGTACCTTGTAAATACGGGCTGTATCTTAAATCCTATGGCTTTAAAGTGCACTTCGCAAGGTAGCTCTACAATTACATTTTGGAACCTGGGCGGTGATGCGCGTTTAACCGTTGATTGATTCAGACAGACATCCCACGTCAACTTGAAAAATAAAAGTAAAGCTTTAAATTAGTGAATACAAGCCTATACATGTTTATAATGTACGCGCATGCACATTTGCTGTGCTACACCGCCAGAAATAAGTTCAACACAATGCAAAAAGCTCAAATAGTATGGACTAACTTTAAAATCAAAGAAAATGGGCTAAATATCACTAGCCACACTAGAGATACAGATTTTAGTGACGAGCTAATTGTGAACGCGTGATCACATGTTGAGCCAGCTCAAAGCTGAGAAGTGCATGTTCAAGATGACCACAACATTGTGTGGGTTGATCGTTTCGGACAAGACTGTCTGGCTTAAATAGCTGAATGTGCCCCATACGCTACATTCTTACCTCATACGCATGGGTCTTAAGAGTTAGGGTTCATTTTGAGCTGCCAAAATTTCATTTTACAGCCGCTCAAACTGACAATAATTAAAAACAACCACGGCGTAGTATAACCGAATTTCATCAGGATTCAACTTCCCTCCCAATGCATGTATAATATAAGTTGAACGTGTATTACGTAGAAAAAGTACTATAGTGGGCAAATACACGATTTTGCCGACTGAATATTATTCCTGATTTGTCGGAGAATAACAAGCTTTTCACTGGGAAGAGTACGGTCGCATGCCCCGCTCAGACAAAGTCAGACTAGTTACTACCTATACCATGATGCACAAACAATGTGTCATTGGTGATGTTCTTTTCTGATAAGTAGTATGGGCGTTCGAAAGGTTTCAATGGAAGGTTTTAATCTTGCTCTGGCCCGTCGATCGTATTCGATGCATTTTCTCACCGCTAGACCCCATAAGTTAGCTGTAATCAACTTAAAATGCCGTAAGCGACTAGGTAGATGATTTGTAACGCGTCAGTAATGTAAATCCTACCGAATATTACAGGATTGGCATCCATGAGTCTTCAACTCGCAGTGAGCTACTTACGACACCGAATCGCGTGTAACGAAGACTGTCTATGTGACTTTGTAACTAAATATTATAGGTCGTATCTCGTTCTCTAGTGCTGCATCCGGTACTATAATTCAGGAGAAATTTTGGAATGTACTGTCACTGTGGTTGATATTGCGAATTACTAGAGGAACAACAGTTGGTAAGAGAAGGGTTTAGAGAACTTTGTTTGGTCTAATCAAAAATAGCATATAAACCACTGATCTCGTTCACAACCCTACATTGAGGCCACTGGCTTAAGCCGACGGTTCATTTGGACCAATCTCGCAGGACTATCCTATCAGCATCTTTCCGAACATTCTAGGCTGTGTTGCTTGGTCTAGCTATGACGAAGCAGCTCACATAAATCGTCCTGCGTTAAATATGTCAACAGATAGAAAAACGTTAGTTGGACCTTTTATAGCTTCGCACAACATAACACCATGATAAATCATCACAACGATTGAAATCCAAATTCAAAGTAATTGACTTATGGGGATCGTGGATGTACTAAATGATTCCAACCATCATCATCAAGAATAGTTAAATTAAAGCATTTTGTGATAACCTTTTGACTGAACGTAAACTGCGCTATTTTGCATTTCCCGGGAATCGCTAAGAGCAGAACGTTTACATAGTTTCCATCCTTTAGGCGTATAGTTTACTGAGTAATATAGGTTATATTATGACAATACGATTTCATTTCTATTGCACTCACGAGCAATATATTGGTCGGAGTCATTATGGTCGTTTATGGGATAATGCAAAATTGTAATGTTTCTAGTTTAATTGTCTTCTTTCTCATCGTGTCACGTAATACCCAACATGTAATGTTGCTAGTTTAAAGGTTGATCAAATCGCACATTTTTGTTCAGCATCCCTGAGACCAGTTTGATCACTTTTAAAATTATTACCACAAGAAAGCGAGATACAGTTTACTTGCACGCTAATAAGAAGGTTTTGACTAACTAATGACATTAACCCGCTTTCAGAACAACACCGTTCTCACCGTTGAACAACACAGAGGTAACGTATTTTGCTACTGTGTTTACTATGGTCACGCAGGTCCGCATATTTCTCTGTGGGATTTTGTTTGTTGTAAATAGCATCACATTATACGTTAGATCTAACACATTCCGTTTCCTGTTTGCTGAGTGACGGATTGGATGTACTGCTAAATTAGACAAACACCTTGAGTGCCCGTGGTGAAATCACTTGCTTGGACCATCAGAGGTCCAAGGACAATCCAAAGCATTTGATGGCGTTCTTCTAGTGAGACAAATCACACGGTTTTATTGCTTGGTGTTCCCTACACACCCCAGTAAAGTGTACGCTTATTACGCGGCTTTTCACATGTGGTTTGTGACTTCAAACTAATTACACCGAGCCATGTGAACTTTCTGAAAACATCTACAAATTGCGACATTTATTCACTGTTTTTGTGATACTGCGCAACAGTAGTTCAACCGCTTCTCTAAACACATGGTTATTGGCACGATACATTCGTACTTAATCCCCAATTCAAAAATACACCTGAGGCGATAGAATGTGAAGGTTTCCCTTACTCACGATATTCCCCGAAGTATACAGAGCACGTTTGCTGTTTGGCACAGATTTGCATGCATTTTCGGGGTACTAACAAGTTTTTACTTATGTGAGTTCACTACGGATAGAACGCTCCCGAGAGAGTGCGATCGTTATAAAGACCCGGTTTGCACAGAAAGCCTGTTAATTTTACTACTAACTATAAACAGCACTGTTTAGCCGTCTAATATTCTCAGTACTTCATGTTAACGTCCCTTCCTTTACCTATATTCTTTGTGTTTGATTGTGCATAGTCTCCGGTGGTCGCAGTCGACTTCACATCATTGACCTCGGTAGCGGACGTGGTTTTTCTGAAGGTACACAGGCTTCCAGCAACACACAAGCGGCTGCGTCTGCAGAAAAGTCAACTGTCCCATCAAGAAACTCTCTAACCTCTGCTCTGCTGTCACTGATTGCAGGTCAGCGGAACATACCACAGAGCAAGAGTAAATTGTTACGCCTATTGTTTGACAGTGTGGGCAGCGTGAGTTGCCAGACGTGCCTACTGATCGAGATCCCGTCAAGTAGCCTTTGCTACAAGGAAACGTTGCAAGTAAGCAAGTTTTCCCATGATCAATGTAGCTACCGTATTCTTGTTTCTTACACGTTTTGAGACAATTGACAATTTGACTAGCTGACGCGTACAATTCTTCCGTCTGTTCGTTTCTTTGCGAGGCTTTAGAAAACAACTGACGCATACTGGATCACACAGCGCTAGTCAGTCACTTCCCTAATGGGGTCAGTTGGGGATGATTGAACTGGCCAACTGTTTCTCATCAAACACTCAGTCCAACCCTAACCCAATACCACATTCACACAGCTTCTGTGGAAGCCGCATATCGTCGTGCCAGACCACGCAATCGCTCAAATCTGTTTTGAGCGGTGCAAAGAACTATTTTGATGACGAGACACGCACGTCCAGCACATCACTAGTGTGCGCTAGCAAGCTAGCAAGCGAAAGAGGGAATTGTCAATTATAACCGAGAAATGCTGATGGAACGGAGGTGGATTTAATAAATTTACTGCAATCTTTTTCATCGGAGAGCTCCAACGAGCAAAACAAGATGAAAATCAATGAGAAGCTTTAGAGCGACAGTTTTATTGCTCAGAGCAAATTGTTTTGGAAGCATACCGTTAGGTTTGAAAAAGCTAATTGTTTTGCTAGTGTTCGGCAGCTGCTAATCTACGGTAAGATATGGAAAAGCAAAGCTTTGTGATTGCTCCTGTGAGATTATACTCAATGAGTTGCCGCGATTATCTCTTAATTCCAGCTATGGAATGGTTGTTCTTCAAATTAAAAACATAACAAGCTTGATACACTTTATTTCAAGCATTTAAGCAGGTTCTAAAACTTTCCAACGGCTGCGTCCCACGGAAAATTACATTTGGAGGTGTAAACGGGAGAGTCACGCTTAATTTGAAAAGAACCTAAATACTGCAATTTAGCTCGAACGCACATCCTCGCGGCAAGGAAGTCCACATTGCAGTTATACGTATGGGATTTATTCACCCTGGTGTTATCCATCGATTTCCATCCGGCCATTTGACACTAACGCTCACAAGTGGCGCCGAGCCGATCACACATAAAACAAGATTGTCACGCGAATGCTCAAAGAAAGTATTTTAGCCCGCTTCAAAAGATGAAGTCCAGCTCATTTATACGAGCCTTTCGGTGTAGTAACCGAGGATAACAGGATGGCAATATGGCGTTTAGCCTTCAACTCATATATTAATATGGGCCCTTACATCTTTAATTTGTTGTGAGAAGCAGCCCGTACTCATCCGTAGTCGGGTTGGAAGCGAAGTGGTTCTTGATAAATATACTTGATAAATAAACTGCCTAAGTCGGTACGCATGATTTATTGCAATGATTGGATATTTTCTAGTCTGAGTAAGGAAGACCAGCGTGACAGATATGCATACATGCAGCTTTTTCTCATCAAAGAGGTTTCAAACTTTTGGCATCAAAGTGGAAATTTTTGGCAATAGCTTCAGTCATTTGGAAACGTAAGATTTAGCATTGTACGTGATTCTCATTGAGCCTGTAGGATTTGAAATCATCAGTACTTCTGAGACTTTACAATCACAACTGCTTTCCGTTAGGTAAAAAGTCTAAGCACTTTAATAAGTTAACCACCTGTCGATGGGAATTAGTGCAAAAACGTTAGGCAAGAGCGCAAGGGCTGCGCAGGACAAATTAGCGTGATATTCTCACAGATGTTTCGTCATTTAGTTTAAAACACACGTATTTCGTTCGGACTGTTCCCTTGGATGCCATGACCTGACATCAGCCAAGCTATATCATGAAGACATAGTGGCATCAAAGTATGCGGTACAGCAATATTACGCTCATCAACTTGAGAGGTTGTGCGGTCATCATATGCTGGCAAAATACCCTAACTCGAATGCGGGATCTGTTAGAGAAATTTAGGATCTTAAAGGACAGTTCCTGAGGAAACAAAAGGGGTTTGTTCCAGTTTGCCGCATTTTGCACTTTAGATGTAAAACTTCTTCCATCAAATACACGTACATTAAACAACCAGGTGACGCACCGGATACGACAGCACTGTGATCCGTTTCAGCTAAGCTGAAAGCACGCAGCTCAGTAGACGTCCAATGTACCGTTGAGAAACTGCTTTAAATGATATACACTGCGACTTTTAAATGAGCTCCTTGGCGTGCGGTCATCCTGGCTTATCTCAATGTAGAAACAAGTTTGTGTAAACTATAAAATGTCAATACCAGTATTATATTAACAAGCGTTAAACAACGTAATATAGGGATAGTTTAGACAGGAAGTGGTGAATGGCATACTGCACTCAGTCCGCGGGTCAACAACCTCTGAAGGGCCATTGAACAGTCACTTGGCCATTTTTCCGAGTTTGTCAGCAATATACATTTTCTCGTTGCGATGTGCTACGTAAAACCCTAAATCAATGTTTACTTTAGTGCTTTAAGTAGCTAGATTACTTCTACTGCAGCAGCTGGTTTGTCAGCACAATGTGAATCATTGAACTGACTTTTGAAAATCTGCGATTTGGCGCAATCAACCTTAGGCTACCAAATTTTGAGCTGAAAAGCCCAATGAAAGTGACATTCAATTGATGCTTCACAAATCGCGTTCAACTGGCATATTGTTCTTTACGTTTGAAAGAAATTCGACTTTTAATAGGCCTCAGTATTCTAAATCACCAGGACCACAAATCGTTATTTCTACATTCTATCAACTACTGAGTTTCCGAAACGCTAAAAGATAGAGAAAAGCCCCTTGGGGTGGCCATGATGATAGCTACTTGACTGCCAGATAAATGCTGTTGTTGCTTGATTCACTTGTGTGTGAGAGAAAGGCTTACCAGTAGTTAGAAATTAAATTAACTAGAAGTAAGATTTTTCCTCTAGACCATTCTGCAGTGATTCCCAGGAGACTGTATGGCACGGTGTCATACCAAGCATTCTCTTCAAGTGGAGAAGCACCAGTACAACAAAAACGCAGAAGTAGCTCACAAAGGGGTCGCAAGTCACACTGTTTTGTTGAAAACGACTGGCGTCATCACAACTGATATGCTGAAAGAATAACTTGGATAAGAACATCTACTCGACGCATAGAAATTATGTTGACGTCTAAAAACAATGGCTAAACTGCGTTAAAGAGAAAAACAGGCATTCTTTATTTTGAGTTTAGAACAAATGTACCCCATTTCCCCGTAACTTTAATGTCGTAAACTTTGAAGCCGTTAACAAATATGTGGAAACTGCGATATTCAAAAGCATGCTTTGAGAGCTTGTTTATCAAATAAATTCTCGAGTCAGGATAACGAATGAACGAATAAATATGAAAGATATACAAACATCCATATTGACATGTGGGATAACAATTAACTGTAATGATTACAACTGCCCTAAACACGCTTGGAAATATTGTTAGGTGGTGTGGCGGATGATGAAGCAACTATGCAGAATCTGTCATCATATGCGGAATCCAGTTGTGATTTGATAAGTAAAAGCGCAACTACTGTTTCTCCCTCACTTACTGGTTCTTCTCATGATTAGAATAATCTGCAAAGTGCTTCTTTGACCATGAAACAGTGTAGAGATAAGTGCGGTGGCTACGTTCCAACCAGGCATTCGAGATGGGTCTTACACTACATTCCCGATCAACAGAGTTAACAATCCACATGATTTCCACCAGCAGATTTTATATTGTGTTTCATCGATTCATCTGTTTATTCCGAATCAGAGGTGTGCCTATTGTTAGTCGTGATATTTCGATTCCGTTGCGCGTTTTCTTACCTATTAATTAATCACTTCTAGGGTAAATTTATGTGAAACATAACCACAAAGAAGCCAAGGATCCCTAATAAACGTATGGTGCAGGATGGGGAGATGCACTTCAGAGAGACTCTTCATAAGTATGAGCAGACTCATGTCAGTATCTATGTCAAAACACTCTTTTTACAATTACAAGAACTCAGACTGCAATGTTCCATCATGAATAGTTTACCCCAGGCGCTTTTGTGCTACAAGTAGCAAGGCTCTACTTTTGGAATGAAGCTGCGCTAGTGCTATTTCCCTGATTGATATCTAGTTGACCGTCTATCTACCGTGGTAGTAGCCATGGAATAATGCTTTGGCACGGTTAAAAAGCTAAAGCTTAATAAGTCCCATAAAATAGGCATGAAGAATATTGCAAAATATGGTACAATTGTCATCACAGGTGTGCCCATACCAGTGGACTCATCGAATTAGAGTTAGCGAAACTGCAAATGCGCAGTAAGTCTTTAGGTAGTGACGAGAAATGGGTCGTTAGTAAACATTTTACTACTTACTTGTGAGCACATAGAGGAGATGAGAATAAGCAATCGTACTCTGATTTGACAGGCAGTGAAAGCTTTAATAGGCACTCAAGTTTAGCCATCAGCAATGGAGTCATGTCAGATGCTGAAGCGAAATGAGTGCACGGACTACTACGGACTTTGGAACTCTACCAGCGTGGTGAGCATAGATGATAGATTCCGGTAAAGCATTCCACGCTTAGCAAACGCATGTGCAAAATAAAGTCCGACGGCACTCCAATGAGATGTACTGCTCTGCTAGCTTGAGACTTTGGCCTCTCAAATTATTGTTATGACTGAGCTCTGGCAAATGGAGGCAAGCGTGGTTAGGATCTTACAAAACCTGGTAAGTCACAATGAGGTCCCCACGTAATTGCCGATTATTGTCCGCTGAAGACCCCGAGCACTCCTAGTCTTTGTTCGTACGGTACATGACGCAAGCCTTCGTTATGCTTGGTTGCCCGGCTTTGCGATATCTCCAAGACAGTGAGAGCCCTACTCAGCTACGTTTGTCAGACCTGTATTGCGTATTCAAGATAGTGTTGTTTCCGCGAGGTTAGCGTGTGACTGCGGTTCTCTAATTGCTGTCTTCAGTAGTAGTTCCGAAGGAAGTGTGTTACGTTTTATCTGCCAGCTTCGGAATAAGATTTTTGTGACTGAATGTTTCTGTGACTGAACTATGAGTGTCAGTTGACTCCGCCCACTGCCTTTGTAGTGAGAT